ATTGTGCCCAGTGGAGCCTGGAGTCGGGCTCTCCAACAGGAGAGGTTGTGCTGCTGCTGGGAGGTGGGGTACAGGCTCCATTGTGAGAACGCATTAGGATGTGTTTGCGTTTCGTATGTGCTTAAGTGTGTTAGACCTTATTTTGTATGTTTTGAGTTTGGTTTGGGAAGGGAACGGAAATCACCTGCTGCTGTAAGTAGTATGTGTATTGTGTTGGGTGATGGGATAAATGTGTAGTTGAAGCACAGGCACGTGCACTGATGCGCGTTGTGCATGGATGTTTTGTGTTTTGTGTTGGTGTGCTAGGCATTGATGGATTTTGAGTGTGGATATGTGTTGGAGGTGTGCGTGTGTTGGGTTGTGGGAGTGTATTATGGAGGACAGGACTATGTGTTATGGTGTTGGAGTGTCTGTGTTAGAGTGTAGTTTGGAAGATATACATGTTGGGCTGTGGGAGTGTGAAGTTAGTGTGTTGGGGGTTCTGTGTGTTAGGGGAGTGGGGTAAAGAAGTGTTTCTTTGCTCCATCATTCCACAGATATTTATTGAATGTGTAATACATGTGTGGTACTTTGCTAGGTGCTGAGGATGTAATGGTGGGCAAAAGCAGGCACAGTTCTTATTCTCCAGGAACTTCAGTCCAGTTGATGGGGTAGGAGGGAGTGAGGAATGAGAAGGAGTGTTCTGGGCCTGGATGGATATGTGTGTGAGTACCTGTGAGGGCATATCTGTGATGGCAAGGGTGTTTGAGTGTGTATTTGTGGATGGGTGTGTTGGGAGAGTGTACAGGAAGACTATGGGTAGGTGGTGGTACACGTATGTGGACATGGCTTCGGGATGTGGGAGTGTTTGGTTGTGTTGCAGGTGTGGGAGAGTGTGTGTGTAAGGGTGTGATAGAGGTGTATAAGCAGGGCATTTTAAGTGAGGGTGCATGTGGGGGTGTTTGCACATGAGTAAACATGGAGGGCAGAGGGTACGTGAGGGCTTGGAGGGTAGGGGTCTCTGTGGTACATGCTGGGGGCATTCATTGCTGGGGAGCAGCAGTGTTGGAGGATGGCTGGAGCTGTGCAGAGCGTCTCCTGTGACCTGAGGATATGCCAGTCATGTCCTGGTACCACTTGGGTTGGGCCGTGTGCTCCCGTCACTCCATCTGTTCCCCCACTATGGCAGCACTGTCTCCTGGGGTGGGCATGGCTGAGAAGGGCCTGGACACAGGGTATCCTGAGTGAAAGGTGGCGCCGAGGCTCCAAGGCTCCTGTCCTACTTTTCCTCTCCTTGAACAGGAGCTGGAGGGTGCCTAAGGAATGCAGGTGGGATATGGGAGGGGGCTGTTGGGCTGAGGGCTCCATGTCTGGCGGCCGTCTCTTCTTCCTGGTACCCTGTTCACAAACCCAGGGGCCTCCACTCCCTCTGTGAATCAGAGTGAAGTCACTGCTGGCTACCTGGAGCCTGCAGGATATCTGGCCCTGATGGAGGAGAGAGGGGAAGGTGTTTGGAATGCAAACTTTCTACATCGTGGTCCCCACCCCCAACTGTTCTCACATACTCCTGTGCGTTCACGTACACATACATGTACACAGCATCCCTTGGGCTATCCTCACCTGACCTATTGAACTCCGGGGTGGTGCGGGTCCCCTAGAGATAGCTGGGTGGCTGGTTTCGTCAGCCTCTACCTGTGATGTGTGAAGTTGGGGGCTGGGGTGGCAGGTGAGTGGGGGGGATGGTCCTTGGAGCTGGCTGGGGCTGGGCTTACCAGCTCCACCTCCTGCAGGCTCTGAAGCGGAAACCAGATTTGTTCCTGTGTGAACGGTTGGATGTCAAAGCTGTATTCCAGTGTGGTAAGTGGCACCAAGTGGACAGGTGGGCCTAGGGCTTCTAGGAGGATCCTTAGGCCCCATCTGATCTGTCTCTGCCTCTCCCACAGCTGTGCTGGCCCTCAAGTTCCCTGAGGCACCTACTGTCAAGGCGTCCTGTGGCTTCTTTGTGAGTCCCACACTAACCCCTGACCCCTGCCACCCCAATGTCCTGCCCTGCCCAGGACTCCAGAGCGTAGGGGTGTGGTGTGCAGGTCTTGTCCTCAGGGAGTGGGGGGAAGGAGCTGAGGCTGATGGACCTCTCCATCCTCTGCAGACAGAGCTGCTGCCTCGGTGTGGGGAAGTAGAATCTGTAGGAAAGGTGGTCCAGGAGGATGGTCGTATGCTGCTCATAGCAGTGCTGGAGGTAAGGTGGAGTAAGTGGGGGTTTGATGGGGGTGGGGCAGCCTCACTGCTAAGGCAGTTGGCTTTCCGGGAGGCTTGAGCCTGTGGTTCCCTAAGCTCTCAGATTCTATTTCTCCCTCAATTATATGGCTTCTGTGTGGGGGGCATGTGCCTGTAGTCCCAGCTACTCGAGAGGCTACGGCAGGAGGATCACTCAGACCTAAGAGTTTGAGGCTGTGGTGAGCCATTATCACATCACTGCACTCCTACCTGGGTAACAGAGCAAGAATTCCATCTCTAAAGAAAATAAAATTTTTCTTAGGTTGCTGGAATTTGTTAGGGTTGCTGTGAGGATCAGCTGGCTTTCAAAAAGCATCACTCACTGTGATGTGCAGTTTGGCTTAGGGACTGTCCCAGAGGGCTTAGGACGTGGTCAGGCATCCTTGCTGCAGAAGGGACAGGCCCCTGATGTGCTGAGAACTCCTCTCCCTCAGGCCATCGGGGGCCAGGCCTCCCGCAGCCTCATGGACTGCTTTGCTGACATCCTGTTCGCACTGAACAAACACTGCTTCAGTCTCCTGAGCATGTGGATCAAGGAGGCACTGCAGCCACCTGGTTTTCCCTCTGCCCGCCTCAGCCCTGAACAGAAGGACACCTTCAGCCAACAGATCCTTCGGTGAGCAGAGCTGGAGTGGGCCTGTTGGGCAGGGAGGAGGAGTTGGTGGTAGTGGATGGTGCTAACTTGGCTCTCCTGTTTCTCCTTCAGTGAGCGAGTGAACAAGAGGCGGGTGAAGGAGATGGTGAAGGAGTTCACACTGCTGTGCCGGGGGCTACATGGCACAGATTATACAGCTGACTACTGAGGGGCGCCCCCGTCCCACCCACCCCTTCTCATCCCTCCCTGTCCCCAACGAGTAAACCTGGACCCTCATTGCTGCTTCTGCTTCCTTTTTGCTGCCACCACCGCCTAACGGGAAGCCTGGCGTAGGGGAAGGATGAGAGGTTGCTTGGGCCCAGGCCTTGGGAGAGAATGGTGGGTGGGAACACCCTCTACTGGGTGAGGGTAGAGGGAAGAGGTACTGCTGTAGCCAAGCGACCTAGGCTGGAGCCATTCAGAATACTGCCATTTCCTGTGGGATGGGGTGGGGGCTGCAGTAGTGTCATCAACCCTCCATCCCCATTAAATTAGTCCCAACATGCATGCATGCATACATTTATGTTATCAACAGTTCTGAGTGCTAGACCCCTAGCTCTGCCCTGCCTTGTTCTGCCCTGAACAAAGGTTGATCTAGTCATAGCTACCATAAGCTGGGAGAATGGTAAAGGAAGGCTGCATGGAGGAAGTTTCTGATGAGAATAGGAGGCTTCCGGGATATAGGACTTGGGGTCTTGGGCTGCAAGTGGGGTAGGGCCGGGTCCAGTTGGGAGAGAAGTGGAGTGGGGCTTTGAGCTCCAGGATGGGTTTCTGGTGTGGGGTTATAGAGCCCCAAACTTACACATGGGTAAGGAGGGCTATAGAAAGGGGCCGAGGGGTAGGGGTGGGGGTTGGAGGGTGGGGAAGAGAAGGTATCACAGCCCCTAGAGGAGGAGCAAGGCGGGAATTAATGTCTGTATACCCATAGCTCCCCGCTTTTATGGGACCTCCTGCACAGAATGGTCAGGGATTGGTCAGGACCAGGGACAGTTCCTGGCCTGCTCTTGCTTTCTTTAGCAGGGTTGCCTTCCTTTCTGTCTCCTCAGCCATAGTTTCACCTGGGCTTCCTCTCAGGTATCCTAGCCTTCTCTTCAATAAGATCTGAAGAGCAGGACTGACTTCCCCCACTCTCATCCATGAGCCCTGAGTCTCCCTGGAGGTGATGGGGGAATTACTGTCATATTCATTCCACTTTTCCCCTGTTCTTTCCCCAACCTTTGCACAAGTTCTTCCATTCTTCCTCACTCAATGTCTTCTCACACCAGGCAGCATGAGCTCCCCCTCTGCCATCTTCTGTCCCCTGAAACCACTGTGTTCTTCCCTCCTCCTCCCCAGGTCCATTCTCACCTTACTCTTGAGTTCTTAATTCTGGGGTGTGTTTCATATACCTTTAGTTCTGTTTCCTACTACATGGCATCCAGGTGTCTTCTTCCACCTACCCCCATCCCACCCCCTGAGCAAATGAAGCATATATAAGGTAGGAGAATGAGTGGTCTAAGGCCCAACTGCAAAAATCAATAGACCTGGACTTGATGCTGGTTGTGCCACTGATTTGCTGCATCTTACCACACAAGTAGTTAGTCTCTCCAAACCTCAGTTTCCTCATCTGTAAAATGGGATAATTCTTACTCCAAAGACTGTAAACTAAGAATGTGGTGCCTGATGAACAGTAAGTGCTCAATATCCTCACACACTGCTATGAGGATAATAAGTAGCAAATGCTTTCACTGCATGCGATATGCCAAGGACTACTGTGTAAAGTTTTGTATATAAATTAATCTGACCCGCACAATGATTCTATTAAGAGGTATTCTGCAGATAAGGAAACAGGCATAGAGACATTCCTAAGACACTTAGGAGCAAATGGCCAAGCACAATGTTCAAACCCCGGCAGTTTGACACTGAGTTAAAAATTATGCGATGCTACCTCCCAAAGGATAAATTGCACATGAAATACTTAACAGTAACTGGCAGAGAGGAGCTGCTCAAGTTGGGGTAGTCAGTTTTAGGGAGTCGGTTTTCCCGAGCGCGGATGGCGGGCGGACCTCAAGAGTCCCTGCGCCGGAAGAGGAGCGCAGGAGAACTACAACACCCACGAGGCTCCGCGCCGCCCGCTGAGGCACTTCCGGCAGGCCTCGGACTCGGACGGGTCGCCGGTTCTCTGCGGCTGGAGCTGGCTTAGGATTGGTAAGATTGCTGTTAGCCACGCCTCTAAAACCCGGAAGGAATCTCCCGGCAGGCCCACGTGTGGTGGAGACGGGTTTTGGATGGCTGGAGGGGTTGCCCACCGGCTGTGGCCAAATTGTGATTCTCCCTCCACTCACAGGGCGACCCTGACCCTTTGAGAGCTGTTGTTGAGGACGCGGACCCCGAAGCTGACTCAGGGAGGTCCCTCCTGCATCCCACCACCCAAGGTGTCTCATGGAGTCTACGTTCAGCAGCCCCGCGGAGGCGGCGCTGCAGCGGGAGGCGGGGGTCCCGGGACTGCCCACTCCTCTCACGGACCTCGATCGAGTGTACGAGCTGGAGCGAATCATTGGATTTGTCCGTGACCTGGGGTGTCAACGGGTGAGGGCAGGCTTAGGGAGGGACGGCTCGCCTCTATGGGGATGAGTCGCCCAGAGGATGGAGATCCTGGGGGATTTCATGAGGATAAGGGTCATGAGGAGGGAATCAGGGTCTTTTCGCGGCCCGTTGACCATCCCTCTACTTACTCCGCGGTACGGAGTGCCCCTTTGGGACCAGAGACTTTGAAGGTTGAGTGGGTTTCACAGGTTTCCTCTGAAGAGGCCCTCAGTGGGGGAGATGGTGTCCCTGACTCCATAGTTTATGCTTACAGGTAGCCTTGCAGTTCCCTGACCAGCTACTGGGAGATGCTGGGGCCGTGGCTGCACGACTGGAGGAGACCACGGGGTCGAAGATGTTCATTCTGGGGGACACAGCCTATGGCAGGTGTGAACTTGGCCTTAAGTGGGCTGGGCCTGGGGACCCAGGGCTCATGGAGTCCCATGTCTATGATGGTGTCTGCCTTCAATGGCTGTGTTTTTTCTTGATGATGATGGTGATGGCTCCCCTCCTGAGGTTCCCTTCGATGCCAGAGACTTCCTTTCATGAAATCATTTTCTTCACTGACAGCATTTCCCACGGTGACAGATGAGAACGCCTCTCACTGATGGTATCTTCCCTGCAGCTGCTGTGTGGATGTGCTGGGTGCTGAGCAAGCTGGAGCTCAGGCTCTTGTACATTTTGGCCCTGCCTGCTTAAGCCCCCCAGCCCGCCCGTTGCCAGTCGCCTTCGTCCTTGGTCAGCGTCCTGTGTTCTTGGAGCTTTGTGCTAAGGCCTTTGAGGCCCAGAACCCAGACCCCAAAGCACCTGTGGTTTTGCTGAGTGAGCCAGCCTGTGCCCATGCCCTGGGTGAGAGGTTATGCCTGTATATGTAGGAAGGGTGGGCTGACTGCTTTATGCCTTAATTTTCTCACTTGAGTACACTCCCATGGAGCTCTTGATATAGTTTTGGCCCTAGCCTTTTGGGTCACATTTAGTCTCTTGGAGATGAGGGAGCTCTTGCTTTGCCAGGCTCCAATCCTGATACCACCTCCTTCCTTTCCAGAGGCCTTGGCCACTCTCCTGCGCCCACGGTACCTGGACCTGCTAGTCTCCAGCCCAGCTTTTCCTCTGCCAGTGGGATCCCTCAGTCCAGAGCCTAAGCCCCTGGAGCGTTTTGGGCGCCGCTTCCCCCTGGCTCCCGGGAGGTGCCTAGAAGAATATGGTGCCTTCTATGTGGGGGGCTCTGAGGCCAGCCCTGACCCTGACCTTGATCCAGACCTGAGCCGGCTGCTCTTGGGGTGGGCCCCAGGGCAGCCCTTCTTCTCCTGTTGCCCAGATACAGGGCATACTCAGGATGAGGGTGTCCAGGCTGAGAAGCTAAGGGCACGAAGACGGTATCTGATAGAGAGGGCCAGAGATGCCCGAGTGGTGGGGCTGCTAGCAGGCACATTGGGTGTGGCCCAACACCGTGAGGCACTGGCACATTTGCGGAATCTGACCCAGGCTGCTGGCAAGCGTAGCTATGTGTTGGCCCTGGGGCGGCCCACCCCTGCCAAGCTTGCCAACTTTCCTGAGGTGGATGTTTTTGTGCTGTTAGCCTGTCCTCTAGGCACCCTAGCACCCCATTCTTCTGGTAGCTTCTTCCGGCCTGTATTGGCACCCTGTGAGCTGGAGGCTGCCTGCAACCCTGCCTGGCCACCTCCAGGCCTGGCTCCCCACCTCACATATTACGCAGACTTGTTGCCTGGTGAGTGGTGGGGTACTGCCCAAGCTAGAAATTTAGGGTATGGAGTTAGGGGGCCAGTATGGATTTTCTTTCTCCTTTCCAGGTTCTCCCTTCCATGTGCCCCTCCCACCACCTGAGTCAGAGCTGTGGGACACCCCAGATGTATCACTCATTACTGGGGATCTCCGACCACCACCTACCTGGAAGTCGTCAGGTGATCCTGGGTGCTCAGCCCTGACCCCACGGCCCCAGCTGGAGCTGGTTGAGAGCAGTCCTGCAGGTAAGTGTGCATGTCTCCACCCTCAGCTGAACTTTTTGTCCAGATTCAGCATACTCAGCCTGAGCTCCCTCCCTTTACAGCCTTATTCCTTAGTTCCCGGAGTTGGCAGGGGCTGGAGCCCCGCCTGGGTCAGACTCCAGTGACAGAAGCTGTGAGTGGAAGACGAGGGATTGCCATCGCCTACGAGGATGAGGGAAGCAGCTGACACCATGTGGGGCCAGAGACACTGATGGCCCTATGAATCACTGCTAGAACCTTTAGTGCTACCTGCACCAACCTCCCACCCCCCTGCCAGGATCCTTGAAGGAGCCTGGATGAAGGGAGGGCAGGCAGCCCCTCACTGGGGATAGGATCCATCTCTGGCACAAGGCTCAGCACATATTGGCTTAATTAATGCCTGTTGTTTGGTGAACGGGGGAAGGGACTGGGGCTTCCCTGAGACCTTCTGGACCCATTTGTCCTGGGAACAGCCCAGGACCTTTGGGCAATCCCAGTTCATGGTCTGTAATTGAGGGTCTGTCCTTGTCAAACGGCTGGTGCTAGATGCTTTACACCAGGGTTTCTCAACTGTGGCACTATTGATGTTTGGGGGCAGATAATTCCTTGTAGGGGCTGTCCTGTGTTTGGTAGGGTGCTTAGCATCCCCAGCTTGTGCCCATTAGACATCAGAATCACCCTAATCCCACAATTCTGACAATAAAAAATGTCTCCAGACATTGGCATATGTCCCCTGTGGGGGCAAAATTGTCCTCTCTTGAGAACTACTGGTGTAGACCTGCATTGTCCAGTACAGTAGCCACTAGATATATATGACTAAACTTAAATTAAGACTAAAAGCTGTTTCTCAGTCACACAAATCATTTGAGGGGACAGTGCAACTATAGAATATTTCCATAATTGCAGAAAGTTCTGTTTGTTGGACAGTGCTAATCTATACTGACTCAGATTTGTTTCTCAGGAAGATCACAGAAACCCAAATAAACCAGATACTTTTTCTATTTATTTTCATTCATCAAACACTGCAGGTCCTACACAGGTCCTGTGGTTAGAGGTATGAATTATATTTAACCAGATTCCTGTTCCTACAGTGCAGTGTAGTGGGGAAGAGACAGTTAAATATGTAGTCACCATACAGTGAAACAGTGCTGTCTATGAGGAGGGAACCCCCAGGGCCAGCTGGATCCCACAAGAGGTACCTGACAAGGAGGCTTCACAGAGTGGGTGATACCTAAGCTGGATCTGTGGAGGAAGAAAATAATTGTTATGGCTGGGTACAGTGGCTCACACCTATAATCCCAGCACTTTGGGAGGCCAAGATAGGAAGATCAGGCCAGGAGTTTGCGACTAGCCTGGCCAAGATAGCGAGACCTCTATCTCTACAAAAAAAAAAAAAAGCCAGGCATGGTGGGGCATGCTGGTAGTCCTAGCTATGGGGCAGGCTGAAGTGGGAGGACTATTTGAGCCTAGGAATTTGAGGTCACAGTGAGCTATGATTGCACCACTGCACTCCAGCCTGGGTGGCAGAGTGAGACCCTCCCTGTCTCTTAAAAAAAAATTGTCAGGAGAAAAGGAGTGAAAAGGACATTTGGGCTTAAACACAGGCATGAACCAACATGGTAGGTGCTTTAAGCAAAGTAAAGCTGCTGGACCCTACAGGTTGAGAGGCATGAAGTGAAAAGACTAACCTCTTCATTCCCCACATTTGCTGAGAAACTTGTCATAGTGGCATTGTCCAAAGTGTTGAAGATGGAATGGAACAAAGGAGATGTGGTCCCTGACCACATCCCCAGGGAATGCCCAAATTAGTGGTAAAGGCAGACTGTCAACTGACTATGCTAACCTGGACAACGAAGGCACCAATCACATATTCTACAAATAGGTACTGAGGACCCATTCTGTGGACCCAGGCACTGGAAATACAGCAGTGAGCATAACAAAAACCATGGTGCTTACACTCTTCCGGGGGTGGGTGGGGGTGAGATGCACAAACAAAATAAAATATTTAATATGCCAAATGGTGATAAGTATGTACCATAGAGAAATATTAATATAAAGCCAGGAAGGATGGCCGGGCGCAGTGGCTCATGCCTATAATCCTAGCACTCTGGGAGGCCGAGGCAGGAGGATAGCTCAACGTCAGGAGTTTGAAACCAGCCTGAGCAAGAGCGAGACCTCGTCTCTACTATAAATAGAAATTAACTGGCCAACTAAAAATATATAGAAAAAATTAGCCGGGCATGGTGGCACATGCCTGTAGTCCCAGCTATTCAGGAGGCTGAGGCAGAAGGATTGCTTGAGCCCAGGAGTTTGAGGTTGCGGTGAGCTAAGCTGATGCCACGGCAGTTTAGCCTAGGCAACAGAGTGAGACTCACCTGTCTCAATAAAACAAAACAAAAAAACTAGGAAGGAGATAAGGAGTTTGGGGGAATAGGAGGTTGCAATATTAAACAGAATGGTCAGGAAAGGCCTTTTGAAGAAGGGGGGCAAAGACGGAAAGGAAGTTACAGAATCAGCCACATGCATAATTAGGAGACCCAGAGGGAACAAGTGCAAGGGCAGTGAAGTGGGGTATGGCTGGCACATTCAAGGAATAGCAAGGAGGGCAGTGCAGCCAGAGGAGTGTTAGTAGGGAAGTGAAAAAAATGAAGTCAGGTAAAGGGCTTGGGGAGCTGCATGGTTGAGGCCTAGGAGGCCATTGTAAAGACTTTGGCTTTTACTCTGAATAAAATGGGAGCCAGTGGGACACTGAAACAGGGGAGTGTCATGATCTTACTGAAGTTTTATAAGGATCACCAGGGCATCGTGAGAACCCACAGCAGGCCCTGCTACTGGGTTAGGGAAGGCTTCCTGAAGAATGACTTCTGAGTATCAGTAGATGTTAGCCAGGGATAGATCGAGCTCTAAGAGACGGGCTTCACGCAAAGGAAACAGCTAGAGCAGGGTAAGGAAGAGAGAACGCACGGCACCTGCCCAGAACTGGGTAGAACACAAGGAGGCCAGAGGCAGTAGCAGTGATTGGAGGCTAAAGCAGGGAGGCTCGGGAGTAAAGCTGGGGTGGCGGGGCGAGGCGAAGGACTGACCAGAAGTCTAAGTACTTAAGGGAGCCAGAGCCTCCGCCAAGACGCGCAACTACAACTACCACAATCCTCAGCGCCTGCAGTTCCGGCGTCGCCATGTTTAATCTATAGGGACGACGCTGCGCGGGGATCGGCGCTGTGTGGGTCACGCGGTGCCAGCGCCTCACGTGGGCGAGTCAGGTGACACTGCGGGGCGGGTCGACAGACTGCGGGGCGGACAGTGGACGCAGGGACGCGGTTTTAGCTTTGGCCCCACCGCTCCGACTCCCGCCGTCCTTACCGCCATGACGGGGCTAGCGCTGCTTTACTCCGGGGTCTTCGTGGCCTTCTGGGCTTGCATGGTCGTCGTGGGTGAGGCAGGGCCCTGGCGAGCGGGGGACAGCATAGGGCCGACCTGGCCCGACTGGAGGCCAGCGGGGGCAGGAGGGTGCCGGGAATTCTGAGCCCCAACGCGAGCTCTGTACCCCGGGCTGCGAGACTTGCCTCACGCTTGCTGGGACCTCTGACTCCGACAGGCGAGACCCAGGCCTCTAGCTGCTTGAGGGGCGCGGCGACGGTGGCCGGGGGCCATGAGGGCAGAACCAGCCCCTTTCTGTCACTGCCGCCATCTCCTTTCCTCGCTGCTGTCGTCCCTTTCTTGCTGTTGACTGGCCTGCTTGGGTCACAAGCCGGCTGCTCCGGTTCCTCTTTTCCCGGTGGTTTTGCCCTCCCCCACCCACAACATGTTGGGTAAACAGCGGCCCGGCCGGGGCTGGGCTGGCGGGATCTGGTGGGGCCAGGGTAGAGCGTTTGCTTCTTTCCTCCACGGTATCGAGGCCTGCTGGTGGCGTGCCTGTGCAGGATCTTGGTCTGGGAGGTGGTGTCATTGAGGGAGATACGTTACTGAGGGAGTGGCCGAAAATGGAGACCTGAGCAGAGGAATCTGTATGGACAGCTGTACTTTCATCTGGGGTCTAGCTACTCCCTTGCTTCGGATGTACGCAGACCTTTGGGGAGGTGGCCCTTCACTTGGGCAGCTACTTCTTCTCTAGGTTGGGGAGCTTCTCTCTAGAGAGCAGCACCTAACCCCTTTTTTTTTTTCTTTCCTCACTGCTGCAGGAATCTGCTACACCATTTTTGACTTGGGCTTCCGATTTGATGTGGCATGGTAAGGGAGGGCAGGGAGAATTCTCCTAGGAGCTGCTTCTCTGCAGCCTTTCCTCTTCTCGGGTCTGAACCCCTCCTCTACACCACTCCCAGCAATCTAGGACATGGACCTTTGGAGATACTATTGTTGCAGTACCCAGGACTGGTGGGGTTAGAGGGTAGTTGGGAGGCTAAAAGTTTTGTGCCCCTTTTCCCTGTCCGGGCTGAGTTGCTTTCTTTCCTATCGCCACACTAGGTTCCTGACTGAGACTTCACCCTTCATGTGGTCGAACCTGGGCATTGGCCTAGCTATCTCCCTGTCTGTGGTTGGGGCAGCCTGGTGAGTGTTGGGGTGGTGGGACTTGGGGAAGGGACTGAGTCATGGCAGGTGGTGCCACTGGGTTCTTAGTCATCCTCAGAGCAGTGACAGCTTGGGCTCTGCTCATCATCAGTTTCTTACTATTCCACCAGGGGCATCTATATTACGGGCTCCTCCATCATTGGGGGAGGAGTGAAGGCTCCCAGGATCAAGACCAAGAACCTGGTCAGGTAGGCGTAAGCATCCTTGGAAGGTTGTCAGAACCAACTGTGTTGGGAGCTGCTTGTGTGTTTGACATGACATACTGCTTCTGCCAAGCCTTATGGTGGGGTGGGATATTAGTAGGGGAAAGGTTGGTTTCTCTCTCATCTCTTTCTCCTCTCTACCCCCTACCCCCACCTCTGCTACTTCCAGCATCATCTTCTGTGAGGCTGTGGCTATCTATGGCATCATCATGGCAATTGTCATTAGCAACATGGCTGAGGTATGGAAGACCAGGGTGGAGGAGGTCATCCATTCTCGTGTGTTCTACACATTGTTTTAGAGGTGCATAGGGGGTCATTTCTGATTACTTTTCTGCCTCCCTCAGCCTTTCAGTGCCACTGACCCCCAGGCCATTGGCCATCGGAACTACCATGCAGGTAGGTGGGTGAGCGTGTGTGAAGGTGAAAAGCCCTCCTACCTCCCAGCTTGGATTCCGAGTTTTGATGTGCTTTCACATGCTTTGGCCTGTTTTACAGAGTTGGGGTGGACATTGGCTCCATTATCCCACATTGGGCCTTGTCTTCATCTCCCCCTGTGACTAGCTGTGCCTCAGGGTACCCCTCTTTGTCCTCCCAGGCTACTCCATGTTTGGGGCTGGCCTCACAGTGGGCCTGTCCAACCTCTTCTGTGGAGTCTGCGTGGGCATCGTGGGCAGCGGGGCCGCCCTGGCTGATGCTCAGAACCCCAGCCTCTTTGTAAAGATTCTCATCGTGGAGATCTTTGGCAGCGCCATCGGCCTCTTTGGGGTCATCGTCGCAATCCTTCAGGTGCCAAATCCCCCTCCGGGGCCTCTGTATCCTTGTCCCCAACCTAGCCTTACCCTCTTCTGGAGACGCTGAAGTGCTCCTCATCTCTACCTATAACTGTGGAACCCCCCCCAAACAGCTTCCACCTCCTCATTCTCATTTTCCCCTTTTGAGGCTTTCAATTTGTTTTTGTCTCTCAGCTCATGTCACTGACAATAGTGCTGTTCTTTTCTCTAATGACTTGTATCTGTATGGTTCTCATTTAGTCTCTTCTGCCATTTTGTTTATCTGTCATTCTCTTCCTGTCTCTGTATTTGTTTGTGGTCTAGACTGAGTTGCGATTTTGTCTGTGTCTTTCTCAGTCCATCTTGTGTTTAACTGTGTCTGTCAGAGCCTGTGTGTATCTCTATCTGGGATGCTCCTGCCAGTAGGAAAGCATATCTGAAATGTGTGTTTTGTGTCTGTCTTACAGTATGTGGGTTTGTGACTAAGGATCAGCCTGAGGTCTGAGTGTGACTCTTGGTGAATGGCTCTATCCAGATGCCACTTCTCTCCCTTTGTCCCACAGCCTAACTCTGCGGTTGTCTGACTATTCCATTCATCTGGGTGTATTCATCACAGTGTGTCCATCCTAGTCAGTCATCCATCTGTTGTGATCTGTCCATCCACCTATGGGTTTGCTAGGTCTGATTTCTGTCATTTGTCAGTATCTTATCCATTCCTTTGTCCCTGCCTGATTTCTCCTGTTCTTTTTTTCGCAGACCTCCAGAGTGAAGATGGGTGACTAGATGGTCTGTGTGGGTGAGGCCGTGCCTCACTCCTATTTATTGCTGGTTTTCCTGGGACAGCTGGAGCTGTGCCCCTTAACCTTTCAGCGGCTTGGTGTTCAGGGCCCTTCCTGCACTCACCACTCACTGGCTGCCGACTTGGAGGCACTGCAATTCAGGCTGAATCCTCAGTGTGGGGAGAGGGCCGCTGATGGCGAGACTATGTGTGCAACTGTGCACGTGTGTCCCCCACCTCCACCCCCAACCCATATTCCCAGTGTTTGTGAAATAAACGTGGTAATTGTCCGGGTCAGTGCATCCTGTTGCCTGCTTGCGCCACCTTTCACAGAAGAAGGGTAATTGAGCCTGTGCTCCTCAACTTCATGCTAATCTCTTGCTAATTTTCTGACTGTGTATATACCTTCTCTGCTCTGAACAGAGCTGGCTCTTGGGAGGGAAGGTAAGAGTGTGGGGAGGGTTCTGTAGCCCCTAAACCTCTTCGTTGAAGAGGGGACAAAGCAGTCCAGGGATATGGGCCCCTGGGTATGTTTGTGCCTGGGGTCCTAGCCTCCTGTCTTTAGCAATCTGCCCACTAGGCCCGAATTGTCAGACCACATCTACTTACCTGGCTCTACCCTCACGTGTCATCACCCAATATCCCTGTGAGGCTCAGCAGCCTATTCCTCGGTCTCTGCCTCTCTAGTGATAATACTGTCCCAGCACCCATCCCCTTCCAGCAACCACTACTCTGATCCTTGTTCCCAGGGCCCTATCCAGCTCCTCCTACTCTTGTCCAATCTCTATTTTTTTCCTCTTACCCCACTTGTTACCCTAGAAACCCTGGTCACCTCAGATCCACATGTTTAAGGGTCCTGCCCAACCAGCAGCCCCCTCTCTGCTGACCAACCTCTAATCACGCCCCGTTGGAGAGCGGACATTGCTGGACGCCTGCAATTTGTCCGCCCTACCTCAAGGTCCCCTTCCTAGGCTGAGTTCATGCTCCAACCCAGTCCCCTCCCGACTCAGGGCCTTGACCAATCCATACCCTCTCTCAGACCCGACCTCTATGCCAACCCGCTGGATGGGCCTAGCCAATTTCCTACGCCCCTGCCGGGGCCCCTGCCGGGTTCGGAGCCTCCTCAGTCCCGAGGCTCGGCCGCCGGCCAGGGCGGACGTCGGAGCGGCGCACGGCGGTGGCGGGCGCGCTGGAGGCGGGGGCCGCGGGGGCGCGCGCACGGGCGCGCCGGCCAGGCCTGCCTCTCCGAGGCGCCGTAGCGCGGGAGGGAGGCGGCGGCGCGGAGGTACGTCGGTCCGCCGGTCAGTGGGTCTGCCCGGCCGCCCGGCCCCGCCCTGCCCCCCGGGGCGGCTCGGCTCCATGGCCCGTGGCGGCGGCTGGAGGCGGCCCGGGGGCCGCTGACCGGGCGGCGGGAGGCGGCGGGGCCGGGCCATGGGGGACGGAGCTGTCCGCAGCTGCCGGAGCTGGGAACCCTGCGCGAACCGGAGCGGCGTCCCCTGCTGAGCCCGAGCGCCGGGTGAGAGGATAGCGCGCGCAGCCCACCACCCAGGGCCCCGAGATTCCAGACCCGGCCCCGTGAGGGGCACCCCGAGCGCGGCCCCGATACCCCAACCCAGGACCGGGTGAGAGAAGCGCTGGCGGCCAGACCCCGGCCTGGCTTCCCCCACCCCACCCCCATCCCATTCCCGGCTCCCCTCCTGGGCTCCTCCGCCGCCCCCAGCCGGCCTCCCTCATTGTCCTCGCTCGCCCCGGCCTCCTGGTGAGGGAGGCGTTCCATTCATGGTTCCCCTTCGCCTCGGCCCCCGCCCCACATCCACTCCCCGCAATCCACATCCCTCACCCCCAGGCTCCACACCCACCGCTTTCTGTTGCCTCCCCCGTCCCGGGGTGCCACGTGTTCAGCCTCCCAGCCCCGCCCAAACGCACCCCTCAGCCTGGCCACCAGCCTGACCCAGAACCCCTGCCCCGGAGGGAGGGGTGGGAATGTTTGCACGTGGGTCAGGGTGTGAGCTGCCTGGGAGTCTGGATGGATGGCTGTATACGTCCAGGAACAGCAGCTTTGTTTGTGAGTGTGTGACTCCTTGTATTGTCACCCGGGTGTGTCTGTGACTCTATATGTAGTTGTATGTGTGTTTGGGTGTGGGTGACTATAGCTGGTACCAGGGTGTCCATGTGGTTCTGTTGTTTGTGAGTGAGACTCACCCAGCTCCCTGAAGCACTGCCAAAAGTGGTTGCTGCTCTGTTGGAACCACAGTTGGAGCCATCGCCCAGGCAAGACCCCTTCCTGCCATGCCCTGTGCTGTGCCCCTGTCTCCAGGGCCCAAGCATCCCTGTTCTGGGAATCAGACCAGCTGTGCTAGGCAGGCCCCAGAGCCTTTGTCCCAGTCTCAAGGGGACTGGCCTTGAAGTCTTAGGTGAGGGGTGTCCTCTGCCCCACCCTGTATTTTGGCCTTGTGCTCCAGTGGGAAGGGATCCATATTTGGGTCTTCTGGATGCTCAGGGCCCCTTCCTAGCCTGGTCCCAGTTGGCCCAGCCTGCTTGCTGCTGGGACCTGAATGACCAAACCACTTCCCACCATGGCTCCTGGAAGGACTAAATGAAGTCATAAGTATAAAGTACTTATTGTAGATACTCAGCACTCATAAGTGGTCTCCCTTCCCCCCTTCTCCAAGCCATGAGTCGGGTTGAGGATGCTGCCCTGTGAGATGTCTGTTTTCTGAGGCACAGGTACACATGTGAGTCTATAGGTAAACATGTTTCCATGCTTAGGTATGAACCAGCATGATCAGAGTTCACATGTCTGTGTTCTTGGGAATATATGGGTATGTGTGTAGAGTTGAGCAATGAGGGTTTGAACCTGAGTGTGTGTGTGTCGGTGAAGTCGAGGAAGGTAAATGGAGGAAGGTAAATGTGTGTGGCTTAGTGGGGTGTGCCTGAGGATGTACGAGTACTGAGTTGCCAGGGACTTTGTCTGGGTATCTGTTCGCAGGTAGAATATGAGTCCATGAGTGTCAAAGGGTGGGAGCAAGCAGTGTGATGTGTGGGTCCGTGACTGTGAGCAGCTGGGCAGGAGGGGGTGGGCAGCCTTGCCCGCCCTGCCCTGACCTGCTGGGTCTGTTTCTGTCACACCCTGCTCAGGCCGGCAGCCGGATGCCCGGGCCCAGTGGACGGGCCGGTGGCCACCTGCGGGATGAGCAGACTGCTGGGGGGGACGCTGGAGCGCGTCTGCAAGGCTGTGCTCCTTCTCTGCCTGCTGCACTTTCTCGTGGCCGTCATCCTCTACTTTGACGTCTATGCCCAGCACCTGGCCTTCTTCACCCGCTCTAGTGCCCGTGGCCCTCCCCGTGCCCTCCACCCGGCTGCCAGCAGCAACAGCAATTGCTCCCGGCCCAACGCCACTGCCCCCAGCTCTGGGCTCCCTGAGGTCCCCAGTGCCCGGCCTGGCCCCACGGCTCCTGTGCTGCCACCCTGTCCTGACTCGCCGCCTGGTCTGGGTAAGCCTGGAGGGTAGGGTCTGCCTGGAGGTGGGGAAGAGGGTCTTACAGTTTGATTAGGGAAATGGAGTCTGGACTCATAGGGGTGCCAAGGGTCTGGATCTGCTGTAAGAGGGCTATTCTTGGGGTTCCCTTGTGCATGCCCAGGCTGGGGGTGGGAGGGGGCTGATGTCCCTGGATTCTGGCCAAGGCCCTGATCCTGACACCATCCTGCTTGCAGTGGGCCGACTGCTGATTGAGTTCACCTCCCCCATGCCACTGGAGCGGGTGCAGAGGGAGAACCCAGGTGTGCTTCTGGGTGGCCGCTATACACCGCCTGACTGCACCCCAGCCCAGACAGTGGCGGTCATCATCCCCTTTAGACACCGAGAGCACCACCTACGCTACTGGCTCCACTATCTGCACCCCATCTTGAGGCGGCAACGGCTGCGCTATGGCGTCTATGTCATCAACCAGGTGCGCTATCTGTGGTTCCTCGTTAGACACTAGCTACCAAGGAACGCACGTGTACCTGTAGGTTGCCTGCCCATAGGGGTGCAGAGCCCATGTGCATGTTGGTGCATATGTGGGTTGGGGGCATTTGTGGTCCTTCTCCACCCACGGTAGTGTGGATATTGGAACGTACATGGGCATGGATGTGTACGTGTTTGTCAGTGTACACATGTACGCATTTGGGTGTGTGTGAAGGAGTCTGTGCATGTGAATGTTGGCATGCACACGGCGGGAGCGTGCATAGCCTCAGAAGGGGGTGAGCCCTGTCCCGTGGTGGTGGAGGCCTAGGGTATGCTGAGGAGGAGGAGGTGTTGTGGGCCCGAAGGAAAGGAAAAGTTAGAACCAGGGAACTCAGCTAAGTGCCCGAGCCCTTTGGTGGGCCTGGTAGGGCTGCCCACTTGGTCCCAGACAGGATCTGACAAAGGCCTTCCCTACCCACAGAGACCTCCCAGACATGGGTTCCCACAGATTGCAGGTGAATGGTGTGTGAGTGGAGTTGGAACAGGGCCCGTGGGAGCACAGAGGGGCCTGGTCCAGCCTGGGGTTGGGAAGCAGTTGCTGAGACAGGTCCTGAGGGATGAATAGGTGTCAGGGACTGGAGGAGGCCAGCATGTTAGGCAAAGGGACCTGGAGGACACAGGGCCCAGCCAGAGAGCTGTTCTCCTGTGTTTGGGAACTGTGGGCTGAAGCGGGGGTCCAACATGTAGGCTGAGTGGCAAAGATGAGGCTGGAGGGGTTAGTGGAGACCAAACCAAAAAGGGTCTTGGGAGGCACGTTAAGCAGCTGGATTCTAGCCTAAAGGTAGTGGGGCACCATTGTGAGGTTGTAAGAGGGGAGTGACATGTATGTTTGCTTTTTAAAGGATTGTTCTGGTTGCATGTGGCAAGTGGGTGGAAGGGGGAAATGAGAGGCAGGGTGACCACTTAGGAAGAGAGAACAGTGCCTACGAGGAGGGCAGCAGTCGTGGGGATGAAAGAGGAGACGTCATGGAGAGTGAGAAGAGAGTGATATCAAGACAGTGCGAGGGTTCTGTCTTGGCTGTTTGCTGTGGGGGTGGCCATGCCTGTGAGTGAGACAGGGACACAGGAGCTGGGCCAGGTCTGGGGAAGTGTGACTCTGAATTCTTCTTGCATGTGATGAGTTTGAGTGCCTGTGGGAAGTACAGGAGGAATGTGTAGCAGGCAGGTAGACAAATGAGTCTGGACCAAGGAGGGAGGTTTGCGGTGGGGAGAGGGATCTGGGAGCACTGGTGTGTGGATGGTCCCTAAACCAACAATGTCTGACCTGCTCAGGGAGCAAGGGACGTGCGAG